ACCTTTTGGTCACTAAATTAAATCATAACTTAAATAAAATAAAATGAAATTGAATTTACGTAATAATAAATATATAAAATAAAAAATAAAATAAATAAATAAAATATTACGTAGTAAAATAATATCAATAAAATAATACAATACAATACAAAATATATAATTAAACATTGTAAAGTAAATGTTAAATTATTTGGCTAATGAATTTCATTTTCTCCTGGAATCCACCACACGGCATACCAGCAAGTGCTTTTCATAAATGACAGTCTGCTATTAAACAATTTATTTTGCCATTATTTTGATGCATCATATTTCTAGTTTTCATCCACAATTATATGGTTATATACGTGTATTCGTCGAAAATGTAAATGAATGTTGCTCATAAATATACAGTTAATAAAAGCAAATAAAATTATGCTTTGAACTCACTACTTAATAATCATGTACAACATGTACAATTAATAAAGTAAAATACTGTATATATTAAGTGTAATTTATTATGCAAAAAATTACAAAAAACTGTTGCACAATAAATTCGATATAATTAAGATATCTGCAGCAGATTTATTCAGTTGAGAGAAAACAACAAAAATACCGAAATGCTGATTTTTAGAAATAAAAATTTATAGTGTTCATTAATTAAGTTCTCTTCATAGCAAGTTGCATGGATTTAGTGTAAAAATAACGTATGTTATATACATGCATACAGATGTACATATGTGTAAAAAAAAATTAAAATAAATTAATAAAATTACTTGACCTAATATAATATAATAAAAATTGGCAGTCCTCGCTTTAACAGTTGTACTAAAATTATTAAATGCCAACATTTCGACACTTTTATTATAGCTGTCATAGTACATAAATTTTACTTCAACTCAATCGAATGTCGGCTTATCAAAGCTAATTATATTAGGTAATAATTTATTTGTGATGTTAGTAAAAAACCAACAGACATCTTGTATCTGTGCTTTGAAATAAATGCACATACGTCTATGGGAATTAGGAAATAACTGATTTTGGCAGCAACACATCTTTATAGAGATGGCTGAACATCTAAGGAAATTTCATTATTAAATTTAATTAAAACATCATACCCGTATGTCAGTGGTCGGAGAAGAAATTTCGAAATTTAATTTTTGCGCATACTTTGATTGTGAGCACGACTTAGTTTTAATTAAATGCGGATTAAATTTTTTGATTGAGGATTATCTGAGACACATCCGAACACGCATTTACATGGGGAATTCTTTCAAAAATAATGAATGCGCCTAAAAAAATATGTTAAATAAAATTGAACAAAAAGGAGTAAAACTAAACTATATAATATGACAAAAAAAAAAAAAAAAAAAAAAAAAAAAAANAATTTATAGTGTTCATTAATTAAGTTCTCTTCATAGCAAGTTGCATGGATTTAGTGTAAAAATAACGTATGTTATATACATGCATACAGATGTACATATGTGTTGACACATATGAGTTGACAATAGCAAGTGTGAAATACGCAGATACAAAAAAAAAAGCACATACATATATATATATATATATATATATATATATATATATTGGAAAACACAATAAAATTCGAATCGTTTATAATCCCGCAAGAACAACAATGCACCATGGTAATATCTAAATATAGCACAAAAGCAAAAATAAAAAAATATCTTTGGTTTAGTTTTTCTTTCACAGCTTATTAGCCTGACAATGATTAGCTCCCGCCAACGCCGTATTTCGACTTGACCGCTCCGGTTGGCATATTTTTTATCTCACTCGCACTCAATGAGGAAAATAAACAATTGCTTTAAAAATCTTTCATTGTTTACTGTATTTTTGTACATTTCATTAAACATTCTTCCCGTTTGAAAAGTAAACAAAATGGGTTAAGAAGTCTTCAAGCTAATTTTTCATCAGTCAAACTCAACAGGAGCTATTTGAAATTTGAAAAATTAGCTCGATAATATTTGTTTTTATAAATAATATATGATATGCACCCCAGTATTGATAGACTCTTTGAAAAAAGTCAACTGTGGGGAAGAGGGGAAGAATATACTGTATCATTGTTTTCAGCTGTTTTCAGATTTTCCGAAATGGATTAAGATTTTGAAAAGTAAATACTTTTAAGCACAAATAGAAATATATAAGAAAATATTTTCCAAATATTGGGTACACGAATCCAGAAAAAATTGCAATTCCTTCGTATTAAAAATTCATTGAACTCTGAATGTGTCATTCCAATCGCACAGAGTACCGTCTTCAATAGAACATTTTGCATTTATTGAAAAATTGAGTAAAATATATATACATTCAACAAAATAGCATAACTAGACTTATGATACAAAAAACAAAGTAGTTTCACCCAAAAAGGAGAGTAAAGAATCTGATAATCCAAACCATGAGGATAAAAAAACTTTAAGAAATCTGTTGACCTCAGCTGAATTCCAATGTAAACAAACAAAATGGCGCTTTCCGTACTTGTAAAGCTGAAATCATTGGCTTCAAAGCATCTAAAATTAAAAAATCATATTAAAGAATGAAATATTTTGAAAGCGACTATATTTTGTAGTTAAACTAAGCATAATATAAAATAGGATATCAAAAAATGTTTTAGTTTCTATTATATTATTAGGGAAACTTCCTTTCTATATTCTTGAATTCTGCATTAAAAGGTTCAAGATAAATTTCGCACTTTTACTTAAAAATTATGTTCTCAAGGCAAAAATACTAATCCCGACGAGAACTTAGCAAATTTGTAATCTACCACAGTTCTCCATTTATTTAAAAGATTGACTATTGAGTAGTAAAATCTGGAAATATTATCACAGATGAATATACGAGGGAATTAACAAAAGCTCGGTCAGTTGATGACTTTCAATTTTTTTCTTTAATCTTATTAATCTCCCTTAAAGATTTTAGAACGAACGGCTTAAGTCGAGACAAGAAAACACAAGTTAGCTGAGGATACCTCAAAGGGGTTCCGAAGATTTCAGACCGGACATTTTTTGGTAGAGAACAAGCTCCGAGAAGGTCAACAATCTTCAACTGACGAGGTCACTGTAGCTCTGGTGAAGTCCACAATTGACGATCGGTGCTCCTATTCCCTTTGAAAAGGGTCAGACGGCAACTGCAAAATGAAACACCGAAGAGTACTTACCAAAAATTGAAAAATTTGTTAGAAAACAGCAAGAAATAGGGTTTGCCGCGCTACTTTTTAAATACATTATGACAACGCGCCATACCGCACTGCCGTAATAACGAGTAATTTTATAGTGATTTCTGGGATCGAAGAAATACGTCCAGCACGACCATATTCCCGGGATATAGCATCTTTCGATTTCTTACCTTTTCCAAAAGTTACAAAAAAAGGAAAGGTTCTTAATAGCAATGACGAGATTATGCTGAACTTGATAAATTTAAAAAGCAAGGTTTCGAAGACTGTCTTCAGTAGCGGATCTATAGGAAAAAGAACAAAGGTTAGTCGGTCTACCTTTAGTTTAGTATTTTAGTTGCTGTAAATATTTCTGAAATTTTCTAAATCGACACTTCGTCTCGCTTCGCACTTAATTGATTTCGCATTGGAGACAACTTGGATTTTATACAAACAGGATTCTAATAGAATTGAAACATCAAAGAAGGATATTTTAAAACATTATGATTTTAGAATGAAAGTTGCAAAGAAGCTGGAAATATTCGCAAAACGGCACGGCTAATGTTAAGCTATATTGAATTCCGACGTAGGGCCGTGCAGTAGAGAAAGAAGGAATGATATTTATAAATTTTCCTTCATAATATATTTATCGGAGCATAACATAATTGCGGTCGCCCACGGCAGGGAATTTTTACCCCTCCGAGTGGTATTTCCGACATGAAATAAAATTTCCTCATAAAAAAACTATCAGCCGTTCGGAGGCGGCTTAGTATAAAACGTAAAACCACAAACTGGAGGAGGAGCTCGGACGAAAAATCGTTTCAGCGGTTACAAAGCGCCAATTAATTCCAAATACAATATGATTTTTATAGGCACACAATCTTCTCTCAGTGTATAGAATTTTCATAAATATTTATTTCAACTTTTTCGTTAAGCTTCGCAAACCGCTACAAAATATCTTGGAAACAATTTAAATATACATATGTAGCTGCATATATATGTATGTAAGATGGCGGGGAATCCAATGATTTTACAGTCTTTTTCACAAAATACTTTGTTGTTTTAGTGTTTTCCGAAAGAACTCTTATTGTTTCCACAGAGAGATTAATGTATATACTCGTATGTATGTATTCGACTCTTACCAGAGCTAATTTTATTTTTTCTTGCATGTTGTTGTTATTGCAGTTATTTTGATTGTGGTCTTCCATTGGACTATGTTTCCACTAAGTTAATGTTGCTGTAGTTGTTATTGCTTTTGTTGTACGATATTGCCTAAAAGCCGATGAAAGCTATTAGTTTTGTGTGGGCGTGTGTGTGTGTGTATGTGTGCGTTTTTTTGTTATGGCTGTCGTTTGGAAATTTTTATGGGGCGTGCGAAAGTGCATATGAATATGTACCACATACTCATGTATTTACATATGTAAGTTTTCTCATATACATATGTATGCATAAACATACATACGGATCCTGTGCAGTCATTTAAACGATTGTTTATTGGCGGCTTTTGTGTAAGAGTATTTCCATGTGGCCTAAGTGTGGGTGTTTGTGTGTCGCACTGTTGTTGCTCTGAATACTAGCTGCGAGGGGAGAGGGAAATTCGTTTGGTGTGAAAATTTTATCACGGAAATGGGGCGCCTCGCTACCCTGTATACAAACATATACATTTTCAGAATTTAATTTTGCCCGCTCCCTAGTGTACTCATTACTAATCAAAATTTGTTTATTTTTGTATGCCAAGTGTTTGCCGTTGTTGTTGCTGTAGTTGTTTTTTGTTGTTGGCCACTTCAACACTAAACGATTTAGATGTTTTTAAAACTTTTTGTAGTCAAAACTAATTTGTTGAACTAATTTCAGTTGAGTATCGTACGCTGAAGAGGCCAATTGCGCGCCTGTGTGGAATCATAAAAGTCAAATTTGAAAAGTTTCAAATTCAAAAACGAAAACAACAGTTCCGCTAACCGGACATTTCCACCTTCACATTTTTGCTTAGAACAACCAACAACACACACAGCCAATATGAGTGATACCTTGATTGTGAGTGAAAGCGAAAAAATTAATGAAAAATTAGAAAAACAAAAATTTTTATTACTAAAATTTATTAATTAATAAATGTGCGCGAAAATCATAAATTTTCGCTTAACATTCTTTTCACACCTTATACCACTTTTTTTCATAACTTTTTAATATAATTTTTTTTTCCATTATTTTGGTTTTTAAAAAAGATGAGTTTGCAAATATTTTTTTTTCTAATTGCATTTGTATTGGTGTGCCGTTGCACTCATGCGTGTTGTTAACATTTGTGTGAAAATCAAAAACAATTATAAAATTCTATAAAAAGAATAAGAACATAATGGAGAATAAAATGAAAAGTAAATAATGTAAGGCGAAAATTTGGAAAATATAAACGAGATTTTCACGCAAATGTTAAACGGCATTTGTCGCTGCAATCATTCTGTTTCTGAATTCGGTCCGCATTGCAACACAGAATTACTAGCTAAACATCATGGTATGCTAAGTGTAAAAAAAAAAAATATTTAAATTTTTCTCTTAATTGTAAATACTGTTAGTTGTGAGAAGTGAAAGTTCGAAACAAATAATTTTTGTTTTTGCGCAAACAAACCTTGAGTATTTAAAATAATATTGCTGATCCAAAACAAATTTATACATATGTTTATATACATATTTATGCAATAAAATAATTAAATTTTCCACACTCCTTACTACAGGATGAGGATCTGACCCCCGAGCAAATTGCCGTGTTGCAAAAGGCCTTCAACAGTTTCGATCACCAAAAATGCGGCAGCATCTCAACTGAAATGGTCGCTGATATTCTGCGTCTTATGGGTCAGCCCTTCGACAAGAAGATCTTGGAGGAATTGATCGAGGAGGTCGATGAGGACAGTGAGTTTGACATCCATTGAAATAATAATACTTTGTAATTGACCTGTTATTAATGCGTTGATTTCGCTTGTTTTCACCACACACAGAGTCGGGTCGCTTGGAATTCGAAGAATTCGTACAGCTCGCCGCTAAATTCATCGTTGAGGAGGATGATGAAGCCATGCAAAAGGAGTTGCGTGAAGCCTTCCGTTTGTATGACAAACAGGGCAATGGCTACATTCCCACCTCTTGCTTGCGTGAAATCTTGCGAGAATTGGACGATCAACTGACCAATGAGGAGTTGGACATCATGATTGAGGAAATCGATTCTGATGGTTCCGGTACCGTTGATTTCGATGGTGAGTGGATTTCTGCTTAATATATGTATATTATTTAAGGATGTGTGTACATTGGTGTTCAGGAAAAAGTTCTGCTGGATTTGAATAAAAAAAATTTTAGAACAAATTTGTTAGGATGGAAAGAGAATTGGGGTAGGGTAAGCCACTCAGTGACATGTATATTAATAAATATTATTTGTAAAATGCTGCTTAAAGACTAATACTCTTTAGAAACTATAGCTATATTTATATATTAGAGATTTGATACAACCATTACTTTAATGGTTGAAATTTTTTCTAACTAGATATAGATACTAATTTTAACGTATTTTTCTACTTGTCCGCTATTTCAATTATTTTTTAAATCAGAAAGAAATCATCCCAATTTGATAAAACCAAATTTTTATTAAACCTGCTCAGTAGGTGGGAAAAAATTCATTTGTATCTTTCTTGTCCTTCATTCTGAATATAACAAATTTTCCAATCATTGTAAACCTTTCTTTTTTAATTGCTTTAGTTTTTAATAATATTTTGTGAACAAAACTGCCTGTCTGTCAAAGGCAATTTGTTCGCTGTCAGTCTGTTCATATCGAAGCCAATATTATATGGCTAATTACAGCAAGTCTTTTCATGCTTTATTTTGTTTTAATATATGTGCCTTAAATATTTTATTTGGTTCACTGAATATTTCGTTATTTTTCATACTTAGGATATATTTTAAATTTTTAATATCATATCTTTTGGCAGCCAGCCAGCAATGAAATCTAGCCGATATTTTGTTGTCAATGAGCGCTATTCGTTTTTGACAAATGATAAATGTTTTGACATTGACGTAGAAATGGCTTAAAATAGGTTACACTGACATATATTTAGCCCGTTGTGGTAGTAAGAGAAAGTTCATTCAAGTTTAAGGGAACCTCTCACCTTCAAGGGATTTAGTAAAAAATTATACGAGCTGTTTTATAGACCTTGGCACTTTTTCTTTAAGACCACTCAGGGCTACTCTCTTCCTGTTAGACTGGTTTTCTCGATGAATAGGGGCTGATACAAATTAATACTTTGAATAAATGGATGCTTAAAATTCGTCACACCTTCTTATGCCCTCACATATAAACGAGTTTTATATGGAATTATTTTATGTGGAGAATTTGACTTCAAATATAAAAATGAGACAGAAATGCAACAAATAACAATGATATTTCAAAAAACCCTATTTCCCTAAAAATAATTTGTATTTAAAGAAATTTGTAACAATTTGGATTATGTAAATAATCTTTTCTTTATAATTTTTTAAAACGTATATAAATTCTGCCTTATATTAGGCTTCAATTGATACCAATTACCATGGCGGCATCGTAACGTTAAATTTCACGTTCTTCAAAAAAAAAAAAAAAACTTTCGTTTCGGTTAAACCATTTGGATATATTAAATTTAAAGTAATTATCAAAATAAATTTTTTTTCGTTTTTACCCGAAGCGAAAAATTGTCGTTAATGTTAACTCGTTTACAGATAATGTTAAACCATTAACAGATAATGTTAAAGGCTAGAATTGAAGGATGGATGGTGTTAACATCATAACAAGCAGTAACCTTAAGTTGAATGTTAACAATGAGTTTGTCCGGATTTAATATTAACAATATAATTTTGTTTTGATAACGTGGCAACGAAATGATGCGATTTAATTTTGTGAAGTTAATTTTTCTTGTCAGCGAAAGGAATCCTTGCGCTTGTTGAGCATTTCTGCCAGTAAATTATCACTCTTATGAGTACTTATACTAAAAAATTTTAATTTAATTTTTGGTAGGGATAGTGTTTTTTTTATGAAAAGTTACATATTTAATTCATTTAATGTTAAAATTTTTTATATATATATATGATGAAATGATAATGTCTAATTAGGACTTTCTAAATTTAGGTTATAATCAAGTTTTGCATTCAGTAAACAGAAAAGTATGCAAAGCAAAATTACAATATAAATTGAAAAGTAAACGGATATTGAAAATATAGTCTTTCAGCTCTTTTCCGAGGAGCGAGAGTTTATTTCAATTGTCTTCCAGATAAGCGAAATCGAATTTTATACCTATTTTTTCCTGGCTTAGAAAAATCCTTTCCACAGGGGTAATATTTCTTAACATATTTCTTTCATAATTGTTAACTTAATTTAAGTTCTGGCATATATTATAAATTTTCGAAAACCCTCTCATATGGAAAATATCGGTTTCCGACGCGTAGGCACTCCTAAAATAATTAGATTAAAGACCTCGTCACGCTCCATTTGAATCTCATTATTACCTTTAAATCACGTAGGCTTTTTTTCAGAAAACTTCAAATTATGTATTCCGCAAACTACAATAAATGCCAGAAGTACCAAAACAAATTACTAATGAAAAATACTTAGTATCTTAGTAGAGCTTCTCCGCGGATTTGTGGTATGCGCCTTAATATGCTTTCAATAAATTGAGGGACCCACAAATTATTCTAAACCGTTAGAATTTATTTAGGACTTTTGATTTTCATCTCAGTAATACACTCGGGTTTGAAATGCTCTGCTGAGGGATCACCGTCAAAAGAAAAATTTATTTTCTAAAATTTTGAATGTTGGTCGACCAAGGACTCGAACCCTGGCCTTCCCAATGGCAAATTAATGAATGAATAAATATTTTATACCGCATAGTTTTTGCTGCTAGCAAATTAACGGTTTTCAAATAATTTTACGTTTAAATTTATCTTTGCTATAAAACCGTAACTACGAAACAAGTATATATCGTTCTTAATTTATTTTTTGATTTATTTGAATTTTTACGAATTTTCGCAATTTTCTTTTTTTAATTTAGTTAATTGTGTACATAAATATATGTGAGTGAAAGCACCAATAACTATTTGTCAACACAAGCAATATGTATCAACTTATGAATATGTATATATGTGCGCATATATATATGTATATATGTGTGTATATATAATATTAATATATACATATATATATTAATGACAAATTGGCGACAAATGTTTTCAAATATTTTTCAAAAACATTTTAGCCTACCAAATCGAAACAAGCTTTATATAAACGCATTTAAAAACCATTAAAACTTAAGTCAATTTGTTAAAATATTCAGCCAGATTTCTGATTTGAATAAAAATGTTCATTTTTAAATTCTATTTAAGAGAAGAAAAAATTGAACAAACAAAAATTTTAACACAAGTTAGGACGTGACGAATTGTTTATGAATAAATTTTGAAACACAAGTAGGGTATGAATAAGTCTACATATATTCTGCCGATACGAAATCAAAATTATTTAATTATAATCCGCTTTCAAAATTCTTGGCTATAATTTTATAATCGTTTGCGAATATGAAGTTGTTTTTTATAAAACATTTTTTTTTTTTTAATTTTTGGATGTAGTATTTTTAAATCCTCTACCGAAAATTTTCCACGATTTTCTTTTTCATATCGTATTGTATTACTGAAAATAATAAAACCAACAACAAGTTATACGTTTCACATAACTTATGGTATGCTTTTAAAAGATATGTCGTAAAATAGATTCAAGGTTTATTTTTATGATTACAAAATACACTAAAAACACTAAATATACAATACATACATACGTACATATGTTTATACAAAAGTATGTATTAATACCAAAGTGTAACGTTCTGTTTTTTTATGTGAGGAGCAGAGTACGCGTGGGTGTGTGAAGACACGTAGAAGCATTTTTATAGGCGCTGTTGCTTAAGCGATACTGACAAACAATATTATATTTATATATATATATATATATATATATATATATATGTAGAGGTATATATTAATACTATATGCCTTTGTGAAGAAGTTTCCATTTTCCTCTAATTTAATTTGATTTATTTTAGTTTAATCTGAAATAATTTTGTTTCTTTTTTTCTTCTCATTTTAGAATTCATGGAAATGATGACTGGCGAATAAATATTTATTTTAATATTTGTAAACTAGAAATATTTTCGATTTTCATTTTTTGTATATAATACATCTAAATACAATTGTAGCTGAATATTAGACACACACACAACCACACACATATATAGAAACACATGTAAATAAACACCAGAACAATGTAGAACGGAATATCAACACCATAATGGCAAACATAACAGAAATCATATAGATTTGTTAAACACCAAATTTTGCCAAATAAATTCGTTTAATTTTTTTTGTATAAAAATTTATTGATTGAATTTTTATTGGAATGCTTTTTAATGGTAAACACAAGATGAATGGCAAAAATTATTGTAAAACTTTTTTTTTCGACGATTGAAATGATTTTTGAAATCTCTTTTTTTATATCAAATTCAATTGCCCGTCTATCATCTTTAATGGTTTATAGATAAATATTTAGAAATGCAATTTGGCATTCAAAGAGAAATAAGATTTTTCGTGATAAATATCGATTCAATTATTTCAATGTTTACCTTGACGGGACTCTATCCTTTTCATGAAACTTTCCATCACCAAATAGGAATGTGGCTGCTGTGTGTAGGCCTTATCTTTCACATGTTTCTAAAGAATGAAGTCGCAAGGTTTTAAATCACAAGATCTCGGTGTCTAGCACGCATACTTTTCCCTTAACAGATTGATAATTCGGATCGTTTTCTTGCATTTCAAGAACCCAATCAGCCAAGAGGCGACGTTGTTGATGGTCGGCTGGCTTGAGTTTTGTGTTAATTCAGCTTTATAAAGTCTTAAGAACCAATTCTTTATGCAAAACACGGTATAATGACGTTTATGAAAAACCCAATTCCAAAGAACGACGTGAAATGGACAAGCCTTGTATATCTCAATTCTACCAGCTGAGTCCCTTAAGACATGTAATTGTAACTTGAACATTTCTATTTCGCTGGATATACATCTCTTCCATAATCCTCCAATTGGCGGATTTTCACGAGAACCACAATATAAGTGTGCGTTGAAGGGTGATCTTAACTCGTGGTATTAAAACTTATAGTATTTAGAGTTTTTACCGGTTCTTATGTGAGCCTTTCCAAATCAGTCTTACCGAAAAAGAAATGGGAAGAAAGGGATGTCAAGCATCTTTTTAAGAACCGCTCGTAGTTCAAACAAGAAACTAATCTGGGAAGAACTGACATTTTTACACCGTTGGGACCTATGCCTGAAGAAGTTCACTGCTATTGCTCTCCGGTCAATATGCCCTGGCGGATCACATTAGTAAGAGGCCAAGCACCTGAAGGTACTTAGAATTCTATCGTGCCCAGAGCTAACTGGTAATGTAGCCTAACTAAATCCGCCATGCAATTACATGTAAGACGCTGGAACGGGTCTGGCAGTCTCATGCTCATATATCATAGAGCTTCGAAGAATAAATTCCATGGCCCATTTTTTCATCCAGCTTTTAGTCGTCTATGAAAAATTTCTGTTTCTCAGTGAAAAAAAATGGTCGTAGCACATACTGGTGGTGATGTAGTCCAGCTTATACGGAACTTTTGCAAGAGATAATATTATTGCGTGTTCAAAACTGCAGTTCTTTCAAGGTTGAGTTGAATTCAGGCTGATTGCATTGTAGGTCGCTTGCAATTTCACCGGATAGGTCCAGTGGAAGAAAATTTACGCCAGTTAGCAGTGCTTCTGATGCAGGTGACGACAGTACTCTTGTTACCAGGATAGCAGCCGTCCATTGAACTCCATATCTAATTTGCTTATGAAGGAAATTTCGAAACACGGTGACGCAGAAGAGTAGAATTGCTTTAGCTATATAAATGGTGCTTTGTAACCGCTGAAGCCATTTTCCTCCTCTAATTTGTTGTTTTGCGTCTTGGTGTTTTTCCAACAATTGGAGGGAGCTTCAGTTTATATTAAGCCGCCTCCGAACGGCTGATGATTTTTTTTATGAGGAGCGTTTATTTCATGTCTGAAATACACTCGGAGACTTGGACATTCCCTGCTCTAACTACCGATGTATAACCTTGCTTGCTCTAACTATCGATCCAGTGATATTCGGTCTTAGAACATATCTCTTTCTTAAGTGCAGTTATAACCTCGCTTGGCATTTCTGCCGTGATCCGACTCCAGTTATGTTTGAGATCTAAGCTTATACAAAGATCGGGAGAGAGTAATTTCCACGCCCTTCAGTTTAGGTGGCTTAAAAGGATGTGGCTTGTACCTACTGATGAATAGAACTGTTTCGGTCTTACTTGTGTTAACATCCAGCCTGTGAACCTTGCATTAGTCTTCAACTACGTAGAGAGCTTTTTAAAGTGGACAAGTTTTTCAATTTCCTTAGGTTGATTTTCATCTCCAAAGCTCTTAACAGGAGACGAGATAGTCTATTTGACTGAAGTGTTTTGGGAAAATGTGAGAGCTTCTTCTGGCTTCAGGATGAAGCATCAATTAAGTACTCTGCCCAGATTCTAATTTTATGTTTAATCATACACAAGTGCGGGAAAGCTTGTGCCATGAAAATGGATTGGTTCCACGACCTTCAGTTGCCCAAGTAAGATGTATTGGAAAATGTATTCAAATCATACATCCCACTTTTTGCTCCGAGGTTTTTGTTGTCTTAACATTTGAATATTTTGTAAGGGTAGAGGAAGCTAAGAGTAGCATTCCGAGATTAGTCTTGCAACCATAATTGCAGAGCCAGAGGCCAGGCTATTCTTCACTTAGTTCGTGATTGGTACTATGAAGAGAGTTGTTGTAGAACAAAGCACCTCAGCCTCCACATTAATTGCTGAGCTGCAATCTTGTTTTGATTTAACATAAAATACGAACATAATATCAAATGACCTTACAGTAAACAAAAAAGGGAGTAAAAAATAACAAATTTATAACAAAGTGTAATTAGCAGCTTTTTGAAAGTGTGTCGCATTTACAAAATAACGAATCTTCTTGTGCTCTTGCATAATTATTAAACAGACATACATATGTATGTTTGTATTGTACTTGTAACTACTTAATGATGCCAAAGGGTTTTGTGGTTATGTCATAAAAATAAGAGGAACATCATCAATTGCATTTAATTTTTACAACCAAATCACTTACATACATACACGTCAGCACATTCATATGCACATACACACCAACTGCTTAGAGGGTCTGCACACTTGCATAACTACATGGAAATGTGTGTTTGTGCGTGTGAATTTCCATAAATACCAAATAAACTCTTTTGTAAGAGTGAATATTCACACATAAATATGTATTTGTGTGTGTGGGTGCATCGATGAAGGCAAGATATGAAATTTTCCAATAAGCAACATGAAGACACAATGCAGAAATGCAGACCAGCCAGTCAAGTCAGTGGAAGATACAGTTATCCATCGATCACAGCGCAACAAATTGCGATCATTTCCGCTGTCGATTACTGATAACATTCATCAATGATTCTTCATTGGCAACATACATTCATATATGCATGCATATATATGTACATCTATATGTAACACAACATATTCATCACTTGCCTCAAACGTCGCATTTTGCAATGTTGCTCTTGCCTTAAGTACCGTTGGTGGCTGATGTTCGCTGATTACCATTGGTAACATCACAACTGATTGCAAAAGATCGTAATTTTTACTAAACTGCATAACGGTACAGGCACATATTTATATATTTATTATCAAACGAAGATGCCCTGAGTGGTTGGGAATTTTGAAAAGAAGTAAGTGCTGCTAAGTTCGGCTGGAACAGAATTTGTGAGGGAGGCAATTGAATATAATCTTAGATTCTTAAGTTTATTCCATGCAATAAATTTATTTAATCTTTATATATATGCATAATTGGCGCTTTGTAACCGCTGAAGCGAGTTTTCGGCTGAGCTCCTCCTCCAATTTGTGGTTTGGTGTCTTGATGTTTTTCGAACAAATGGAGGAACCTACAGTTTATACCAAGCCGCCTCCGAACGGCTGACGATTTTTTATGAGGACTCTTTATTTCATGTCAGAAAGACACTCGGAGGGGTTGACATTTCAATGCTGAGGGGCGACCGCGATTAGAAAATTTTTAATTAATTTCCTTTAACTTTTTGATATTGAATGCACCAGAATTTATACCCGGGCCTTCCGTAAGGCAGTACGCAATTCTCACCACTCGGCTACCACGGCCACCGCTCACTTAATAATACTGAAGTGTTCCTGGAAAAATTTGTATAGCATTTGGTCCTCTTGCATACCTATCGGAGTATCCTTCAGTAATGCGGCGTTGAATCAAGTCACTTTTCGTGTTTAACGAACGCAATCACTACACGAAGTTGCAAGTGGTAGGTAGAAAATATGCGAAACGGATATTGAATCTGATGCATTACGTAGGGTATCAGAAGGCGTGAAGTTTGGAGAAAGTTTTCCAATGCAAATGGAAAAATGCGCAAATTGAAATATGTTATATATTAAATGCAATTATTATAAATTTTTTAGAATTATGTATTGTTTTTCACGATTTTTTCAATAAAGCCGGCTGAATTCGAAACTCCCATTAGAAAAATGACTTCGAAAATTTAATTGCGAAAGTTTATCACAGACAGAGTAACAAGAATTTCATTTGAATGACTTTAAAACGTTTAAAAAACTAATTTAAAAAACTAAAGGCTCGAAATACTGGATGATATGACGTCGATTAGCTGAAATCCCAACAGGCTTCCGAGCGGTTCTCTACTCAACTTACGCACCTGCTTTCTGAGATCATTCACCAGCAACTTGACATGAAGAAACGGTGGAACAGCATCTCAAACTCCCTACGTACCGCCACTACGTATCAGAAAAAAAACCTGTTTCAATGTCGAATGTCGAACTAAAGTGGAGAAAAAACTGACTGCCTACCTCGCAATCTTCTTAGTGCTCACAATACCTGCAGGGTGTGATAAAACCGAGAGCTAAAAAGGGAAGCAAAAGACATTTTCAGACTATGAAAGAAAGATGTCGAACTGCGTGAGTGGGATGCATTTGACTGGAGCAGAATATTGCAGGGCACAGGGCAGGCTCAATTTATGGAGGACCACTTTTTAAGCTGTGAATGGCGTTAAAATGGAGCACTAGGAAATACGACACCTCAATCGATGAGAGACAGCGGATAGAAAACATGTTCCATTACATCCTTCCATGATAAAGTCCATTTAACGATTGCTTATTTAAAGAATAGCAAAGCCACTGGAAATAGTGGTCTACTTGCACAGCTATTCACAAATGGCGATGAAGAGTTGATAAGGTAGATGC